ACGTGTTTTTATAACAAGTCATACCACTCAATAACAAATATTGTCCAAAAGTCAACAAGTGGATGTTTGTAAATTAAAATATTATTTCATTATATAAAGTTTTCTTCAATGGCTGCCATTGTTTGAAAATCAAATTTAATGTCTATCAGTGTCTATGTTTAGACATTRGACGATACACATAGACAATAGTATTTAAGATATTTTTATTTTTAGTTTGAAACTTAATTATAACTGTTTTAAACGGCGTTAGTCATTAAAATAATTTTATTGTGGTTTATCGTTTATTATAGATGAATTTTGACCTTGCCGATCCTACCTAATATTCTCACCTATATTGGTTACCACTGCAAGCAGTTTGAAGTAAATTATTTTCAATGGCTTAATTAACTATAGATTAATTAGAGAAAATAATTGATATACCTATGACAAAATGTTCAGAATTAGTGCCATTAGTTCAGTGTTTCTTGTCACAGTGATTATGCATTTAGTTTGGTAGTTATTTTTATAACATTTTTTGACATGGTATATGTTCTAAATTATTGTCTTTTAATGGTTGTATATTTGATGTAAAATACTCACATTTTATACTTATTATTATTATTTTGTTGAACTTTGATATACAAACCATTCAATCACATTGAGAAGTAAATTGTTAATATAACGAAAAGTAAGTGTTTCTTATGATTCTCAGTATAAAATAAAGATACTTGGTTAATTATGTTATACTTTAACTATATTATTTCTATAGTTATACAATATATCTATAGTACTCTAGTAGGTACTTCACATTTAAATTTTAGATGTTATTATAACGAACAGCATAAATCTATGAATTATGAATACCTACTACAAAAGCATCGATTTTAAAGTATATTTGTATACCTATTACCTACCTAAYAACTCGTAAAAGAACTTGTATTTATTCGATATGATGCTAATTAATTTTTCATAAGTTTCAAAGTTGAACTTTGATCGAATTTTTTATTAAAAATGAATTGGTATTTTTGATTAAGATTTGACAATATTCATATTATAATTTTATGTTAACTTAGCGTGGTTCCGGAGTTCAGGATGTTAGAGCATTTTGAAATAACTAAAATGTTTTATWATGAGTAATATTCTTAGCACGTTTTTGCTTATGCAATGCATGTCTTTTGAATATGTATATCACTAAAAAGTAYATAATTATTATTAATCCATATACTTGTTATCTAATACCTAATTAGTAATTTTCTGTAGAATTTCAATAATAAAATTAAGTATTTTGCTAACCATAATATATCTATCTGCAGCAGCAGCAGCAGTGTAGTCTTGCCATAACCTTTTTACGTTATTGTTATCATGGTTATCATGGTTATCACGTTATATCTATTTTGCGTTTGTTTCAGTTGGGCGCAGGCGTTGGCGGTTGTAGAGTGTGCAACCAGTCCGTGTTCCTAGCCCAACGTCTGCTCATATCTGGCCACCTGTTTCATCGGACGTGTTTTAAGTGCGCCCGGTGTGCCGCCCTGCTAAGCGTGGCTAACTACTACGAGACGCAGGACGGCAAGTACTGCTGCGAAACATGCCCGGACGAGGAGCGGAAAGTTTCGCCGACCGTGTCACTGACGGTGACGGCGACGGCGACGACGTCGTTGCAGCCACCGCCGTCGTCGTCATCGTTGGTCGGTGACCGCCGGGCACTGTTCGAAACGCTGGCCGCCGCCGATTGTACAGATGACGTGAAAGCGTCGAAAAAGGCGCAGCGGCCGGTCACACTTAGAATGGCTGATCCGTTGACGACCACCACCGTCACCGAGAAGGCCGCCATCACATGCAGCGACGACAATGACAGCGGCGTAGTGGTGGACAGCGACAAAAAAGAGTCGAGCGATGCGAAAACCTCAACTAGCATCACCGGTAGTCGTGAAACCCTTTCGGACGTGGTGGTGGATGTCGTCGAGGAGGACGGCGGATCGATGCCGCAGGACGAGGAACGAGCGACGGACCCTGCCATGGCTGTCGCCGTATCCGATCAACTGCCAGATGTCGTCCCACCCGTCGTGTTGTCGCCACCCCCTCTTCCGTCGTTGACGGACAATTCGAACCCACCCGACGACGATATCGCGGTCGAAATATCGAAACTTGTTCATTTACCGCCTCTATCTGATGATTTGAAACAAGTCCTCGAACTTCCTCCGGTTAGTAAAGCTCCCGTTGAAGAGCAGCTTGACTCACCGGAGGATTACGAAATAAAAACTCTATCCAACAAGCTGCTTAAAATGGATTACTACGAGAGTAATAAAGAGGTACCGGTTCCTAGTCCTAGAAAAAGAATTAAATCTCCAATAAAAATAAATTACCCTGAAAATTTAAATCCTTTCGATGACGAAGAGGACGATGGTAACAAAAAAAATAAAGATAGCACTAATCCGTTTGGATCCGATTTAGAAGACGAAGATGACKAYGTACTTTCAGCCAAGAAGAATATTAGTTTGAATCCRTTTTCGAGTGATGAGGATGAAAACGAACCTTTTTCACAGCCCCCATTGCCCAAACCTAGGTAAGAATACTCATTTTTTTTAATTTTAAAMWTTTTTGTGTAAATTGATCTCTGCATTACATTTTAATTTGAGTGACTATATACAGAGTGTCCCACAGAGATCTGACATTCTGACAAATGAAATAACTTTTGTTCTAATCAATATTTTAA